CCCAATGAGCACAGGAGGAATCTGTGAGAAGATGAGAGGTAGTTCACAGAATCTGTAGGAAGCACCGGGAGTCAGACCCTCAAAATGGGCAGATGCAGGTGACTGGACAGCAGAGTGACCCTGTGGGATCGGTCCCAGGCATTGCTGCTAATATCCCACCAGCAGGTCCTGATGACAGTCATGGCTACTTTCTCAAGAGTTGAGACCTGGGGTTTCCACCCATGCCTTGAGGAGCCAAGTTAGTGATTTCCTGTAAGCTTTCCTGTTGTATTCTGCAGGGCTCCATGGACTTAGACCTGACTCTGGTGGCGAGAAAATGAAGGAAAGACAACACAGACACAGAGAAAAGCTGCGAGCAGGTGGACTGCAGTCTCTGATGGGGAAACCTCAGTCTACTGGAAGCTCAGAGTGTGTGTGTTACATAGAGTTGAACAGAGAGGCAGGGTTATTGAAGAGCTGAACAAGAAGGCAGTGTTATTACATACAGATAAGCAGGGTGTCACAGTGTATGACAGACAAGACTCTGCGGGAGAATATCAGGCCAAATATCCAAATACCCAAGGGTGCGGTGGACATTCCCTGCACACACTGTCAATACTCACACTTTGCTCTCTCAGCCTGAGGCTTTGGGGTCCTTGGCATGGCCGTACCCATGTCAAGTACACACACTCACTCAGAGCTCCACTCACTCAGGGCTTCCTCCATTCCCTACACTTCTCAGTTCTGCTGTCAGTGACCTCCTTACTCCAGAGTCCTTGAGTACTGCCTCCTGTGACAGGGGCTTGGTCTTCATGGGTGCCTCAATTCTGATGACCGCAGTGGCCATCAAGCTGGCTGTCTCCCTGCTGGGGCTCTGAGTCCCCCTTCAGACAGACAGCCATCCAGAGCCTGCTGTGTCCTGAAGTTGCTTGTGGGCAATCCACTCTGTGCCAGCCGTGGCTTCCCAGCTAGAGGGTGACCTGTGGAAGACCTTGCATTGGTACAAGCCACTGGCAGGGTCGTTGTTGGGCCAGTATATGAATGAACAATTTCAACAGTGTTTGCTTAGTACGAGACTGTACTTAGGAGGCTTCGCTGGCACTCCAAAACTCTCAAGGCCTAGAGAGACGGCTTGGTGGGTCGAGGCAGTTGTCTTGCCAAGTCGGACATTCTGGGACCAGTCCCTGGGACCCACGTGGTAGAAGAAGAGATGTGAGTTCCACAAGTTGCCCTCTGACCTTCACATGTGAGGTGTGTCATGTGCAGGTGCAAACTCTTACTGGCCTTGAACTCCCTGACTTGGCCAGGCTGGCTGGGTTGTGAGGCCTAGGGAGGGAGCTTCCTGTCTCCACCTCTCAAACACATCTTTCCACCCTTGGTTTACTTTTGTGTGACTCCTAGGACTTGAACTAGGCCCTCATACTTGCAAGGCAAGCACTTGACCTACTAAGCTACGGCCTAGCCCTGGAAGAAAGCAAGACCTGGAGGAAGAACTATGGTTACCCTGACTCGCTTCTTAGGTTCGAAGACTCTACACTAGCTGTGGCCCAGGGGTCTGAGAAGTTAGCCAGAACCTCCTTTCAGTCTTGGGCTGGAGACAGGGCTAAGCACCTTCTGCTCCTGGCTTCTTCTTTCTGAGGAGATGCCCTCTCTGGCAATGTCTGCCTTCCATGATGTGTTAATCCATAGGCTCTCTAGGCTTGCCTGCGCCCCGTGGCCTGAAGTTAGGGATTTTCACATCTGGCCCTGATCCACCTGTTCTCTGTGCATGTTTCCCAAAAGCCTGGGTGTGCAGAGGAGAGGGCAAGGGACACTCCTAGACCTTAGGCAGCACAGCTGGAGTCCATCAAGAGGGAGCCTGGGGCAAGTAGGAAAGTTGTTCTCTGTCAAACTCCAGCCATCTGCCGCACACCTTCTTCACAGGAAGCATTCTCCTTGCTCCTTGGGAAAGTAACTTGATACGAGCCCATCCAACCCAAGGTGAGGAGTTGAAACTTTAGCAGAGGCCCATGGGGGAAGCTGGAACAAAAATTAAACAGCTCAAGATGCTATCCTGCTTGCCACTGCAGCCCCTAGCGTGCAAGCCACAGCTGGAATGCGGTGCACACCCTGCCACAGCTGGGATCTATATAGCGAACTCAGGTTAACCCATTGCCTCCACAAGCTGGGATTTCCTGAGCCCAAAGTGCTTTTTTTTTTTCTTCACCTCTCCTCTCTGTCTATTAAGGAAAGGAGGATTGGTGTAGACAGAAAGGCCGATTTGGTTAGCAGCCTTCCCAGAGCTCAGAAAAGCAAACACAGAACAGCGCATGTGCTCCTTGTTCCTGGCAGGTACGCCAAGGCCTCTGTGTTCCAGTCCAGCACCGTGCCTTGGCCTCCAGCCTCTGGAAAGCAAACTCTGAATAGCACTGACCCTCATCATTCCTCTCTGAACGGATGAAATAAACAAGGCAGCCTTGGCCTGCAGGGATGAAGTTTGCAATCTCCCAGGAGAGGTGCTGGCTGGCCCTGGAGAAGGAAGCTTCTTCCTCTGCAGCTGGGCCCAGCCAGGCAGGAGCAGAGGGGCCAGAGTCTGTGTGTACAGGCTGTGGTGGACCTCACATGGCAATGGCCTCGGAGGCTTTAACCAGGGGTTGTATGACTCTTGTTCCCTCTTAGGAGCTTGGGGCCACATCCAGGAGCTGGCTGCTGGGGAGACTGAATGAATCCATGGGAAAATTTTGCAATAACGGACTAGCAAGTGGAAGAGCTTGATCCCTGAACCCACACTGTGTCCTCTGAACCCCGGATTTGGATACATGTGCACACATGTGTCTGCGTGACTATGATAAAAAATATCTTTTTAAGTTGTGCGTCAAATTTTCACCCTAACCAACTAATCCATTTCTCCATCTGCAAAATAGCTACAGCATGCATAGCTCACAGGTCACAGAGGAAAAGTAACTCAGGGTTACACACACAGGATTACAAGCCATAGTAGCTCCCGCTGCCTGCATGGGCTCTTCTGCACCAGCAGAGGAAACTCCACTGTCAATCACCGGAAGGTGTTTGCGTGCATGTACAGCCCAATTGGTGAGTGAGTGTTTCCAGTATTTTCCAATGAGTTGCATATGTTCAGAGCTCAGAGGGCCCAGCCCTTTGTGACTTGCCCTGGTTTTTACTATGTTGCCTTTTTTCTGCTGCTCCCTGTAGAGTCTTGCCACATATCCCAGGCTGGCCTCAAACACCTACATATCCCAGGCTGGCCTCAAGCGCGTGATCCTCCTGCCTCAGTCCCATGAATGTTGTTGGGATTGCTGGCCTGTGCCACTACACCCAGATTTTCTTTTCTGCCTGTTTCTTCACCCTCCAAGTCTTCTCTTGTGGAGCTTGGGGGTCATTTTCAGTAGCTCTGCTAGAGTGTGTGTAGGGGGGGTTGCCATATTGAACTTCACCTTAAGGCTCAGCGGAGTAACTGGCAAAGGAGCAGGATTGTGAGACAGAAATGAAAAGAGAGGGTGGGAACAGCAGATATTTTCACTCAGCCCTGGCCTTCACTTGCCTGTAAGTGTGCTAACGGCCTGGATTTATGAAGAGGCCTTGGGTGGCCTACAAGAAGGGCAAGAGCCAGGTGGGGAGAGGCAGTCAAGGTAGGCTAATAAACGCTATGGAGAATTCTAGGCCAAGGGCAGCATTAGACCCTGGGGAAGTTGAAGAGTGGGCTCTGTGGAGCCTGAGATAACAGAAGAGATGCACAGAGACCAAATGCCAGCCACCCCAATGCCCAGGAGATGCAGAGACCAAATGCCGGCCACCCCAATGCCCAGGAGATGCAGAGACCAAATGCCGGCCACCCCAATGCCCACATGCTTCAGATTAGATACCAGGCTAGCATTCCCCATACCAGGTGCAGTATTAGGCTGCAGGAAGCCTCTGAACAGGGCCCCCAGGCTGCTATAAGAACTCCTCTGATCCTTAGCAGAAAGAGAGAGAGGAGAGAATACTGGATTCCAGATCCAGCCTGTTCTGGATGCTCCTCAGCCCAGCTTTTATCATTCATAGACCATAGGCCATGTTATAACTGGTAAATAAATGATTATATTTTTTATATAATATTGTTTTAGTCAGAAAAGATACAGCCTCAGTAAGCCTCGCCTTATGCTGTGGTGGGCAGAAGACGGGAGGAGAACAAGAAGCCATTTTGTGCTCAGCAATAACAGTAGGGCTGACGAAGTTGTAGCTAGGGTGGTTGTGAGCATAGGCAGTCAGGGCCTGGGGGGAGAGGCTTGGGTTTGGAAATTGGCCAAGGGGCAAGTGCTGCCCTGGGTGAAGAGGGAGAGGCCCTGCCTGAGTTTCCCAAGGAGGATGCAAGCCCAGCTTGTTCTATGGGAGACTGTGCCAGACATATTGCTTTGTCCTCAGAAGTCACCTGTTTGTCCTAACCAAGGCAGGCCTCACTGATGGAGGCCTTAAGGCTGGCTGCAGGCCAGCGCGTGCTGCAATGAACCTGAGTGTTAGGGCTGTTTTTCTGTATGGTGGAGGGACGGGCAGGTGCCTTCCTACATGGCGCCTGTCGGAGCGTATTCCTGTCCTTACATCCTTGGAAGCTCTGTCACTAGATCTCAGGGCAGAAGAAGCTGCAGGCTGCCTGCTGGGGCCAGATAACACCGGCTCCCTGCCACAGTCAGGTTTAATTGTCTCCAGCTGTCACATCCCCCGAGCTCTGGAGGACTCTGAGGCAGTGGTTCTCAACCTTCCTACTACTGGAACCCTTCAGTACGGTTCCTCATGCTGTGGTGACACCCACCACCGTGAAATTATTTTGTTATTGCAACTGTTACGAATCATAATGTAAATGTATGATATGCGACCCCCAAAGGAGTTGTGACCCATCTGGAAGTCTGAGCCCTGCTGAAAACCTCAGCCTTGCCCTCACCAGCCCCTTTCAGTGTAGCAAATAGCTCCTGCCCCTGAAGCCCAGCACAGAACTACCTGAAGAGTTCAGGCTAACGCTGCTTACTCCCACTTATACAGTGTGCGATTTCACCCTGAATTGCCCAGGGGCAGCTTGGTGGAGAAAAGTGGGGGCTTCCGGAGGCCAGCTTCAGCTTGGCCTGGGCGGGACTTGCCCACCTGTGGATGCTTCTTCTCGTTGCTCTCTGTGGACATTGCCAGCACGTTGCTCCATCAGCTGTTAACGGGAGATTCCTGGGCTTGAGCAGGGCGCAGGCCAAGGGCTTTCTGATCACCCAGGCCCAGAATGCTCTCTCAAGCCAGTCTTTTCTGCAGCTAGTGGCCTAGCTCCTGCCTGGGCCTGAAGCCCCCTCTGCTGGTAGCCTGCCTCCACTGCACCCACAGAAGGTAGGCAATGTTACTTCCAGTTTCTTTTCCTTAGCGCTCTAAAACGATTGTGATAGAAATTTAAAAAAAACAAACAAACAAAGACGGAGAACTTACCAACCCAGCCTTTCTTACACTGATTTTTTAAAAAATCTTTAAAGATAGATTGTTTCTAAGTGACCCAGGGTAGGCTACTTCAGTCTCCTGAGCTCCGGGTTATAGACGTGGCCCACCTATGTGAATTTGCATCAATTTAGCCATCTGGGTTTGGGAGGCGCGGTGGGGGCGGGGTGGGGTTATGCAGTTCAGAAGCCCATTAGCAAGGCAGGGCGCCCTGCTGTGTTCTGCTCAGTTCTGCTGCCTCTGCCGAGTTCCAGGGTTTGCTTTTTTGCATTTTTATCTTTCTGGGATCCGACGGAACCCTGAACTTAGAGTGCAGCCACTGCCCAGTGTTCCCGGAGTCGGGGGAGGGGGGACGGGGGACGGGATCACCTCTGCAAGTTCTTTCCCATCACCAAATAAAAGATCTGTCTGTTGAACTCTTGGAAAGCAGAAAGGGGCACCCTCTCACAGCCCCTGGGGAGACCCAGCAGCTTCCTTCTGTATCTGTGCGGCCTTGTTCCTCAAGACAGCCCACCCGCTCCCATGTGACTCTGCTGACGGTCTGGAGTCTGGGCACACCCTCCCCCACCCGGGTGCTGTTGACATTCTCACAGGTAGGCGGTGGGGCAGGCATGTGACCACAGGGAGCACTGCATCCAATAAGAGTAACCGGTGACTTGCACTGGCTGTCTCTGGAGCCAGGTTTCCTGGGGTGTGGGAGTGTGAAAGCTCTGCGCAATTTTCCACTTGGCTGGGTGAGAACAGTGGCCTGTGCGGTAATTAGCCATCTTCAGGAGACATTGTCACCACACCTTCTAGGTGGAGGACTTGGGGGCTGGGCTCCGTTCATTTGGGCCCCTGCAGCTGTCCCTGTTGTCTTCATTCCCACTGGCTTTGTGTCCCTAGGACCACTTTTTGTGGACAGGGCTGACCTATTGTGACAGGGTTTCTTTTGCAGGCCAGGTGTCAGAAGCGCCTGTGGGGAGTGTGGAGGGCCCTCCTTCCTGTCAGAGGACCTCAATGTTTGAGCTGAGTACTGTTTAGGAGGCTCCTTTTCATCTCTGTGAGCAGGACCCACCCTGATCTCTGAGCCTGACTTTAGTGTGAGATTCACATCTTCCCGGGGCTCCTGGAGCTGTCTGCTCTCCTAAGTTCTATGCAACAGGTCTACAGAGTTCCTCCACTGTCCCATCTTCCCCTTATGCTGTCCCCATCTCTCACACAGCTGTCCCGCTGTCCTTGTCTGTCCTGAAGCCCACGACAAACACTACTTTTCTGTTCTCCTTGGAGTTTGCACATCAGGCAAAAGTTGTAGGGTTTTCTCCTCTGCATGTCTGTGGTACATCCTTTGAGGAGACAGGAGATGAGGTAGGCTAGGGCACAAGACTCCTGCAGGTGCGGGGGGGGGGGGGGGCTCTAACGCTCTGGGCCTGGGCTCCCTGCTCTTCATGCTGTGGAAACAAGTCATCCCACCTTACTGATTCTTTGGGGACAGGGATGCTGTCGAATGTCCTTCAGTGACAGAGTGGCCCCATAACAAAGGGCATCCTGACCCCAATGCCGCTATGAGAACCCTACTTTTTAAGTTTTAAAAGTATCTTTTCATTTAATTTTTGGGTGCATGGGTGTTTTGTCTGCACCATCTGCATGCAGGCTAGGTGAGGGCACTGGATCCCTGGGGGCTGAAATTGCAGACTAAATGAGCTGCCATGCTGGTGGCTGGGAATTGAACTCTGGTCCTGTTGGAGAAAAACCTGTGTTCTTTAACAGCAAGTCACCTCTCCAGTCTTTCTGTCCTATTCCTTAAGGCTGTCTTCTGTTAAAGAAAGAATGGCCGTGAAACACTTCCGTGGGTTGGAAGGTGGGGGCCATGGGCAGAAGCTGCAGACACTGCGCTCATCCGAGCTATTTATGCCGTCCTGTGCTCTCGCCACTCTGCTCCCAGCCGCCTGCATCTGCCAGCCGCGTGGCTGGCAGAGGGTGGAAGGTCTGTCTGCACCTTGGATCCTCAGAAAAGCCCAGCTGTGGTAGCCTGAGGAGACTCCTTCCTTCCAGAGGCTGGGTCTCACTGGGAGGAGGGAGCAGGCTCATCGCTGCTCAGAGAGAGATGCATGAGTCCAGGGTAGCTCACCCCACATTGAGTTGCTGGTCCAGTTACCTTGAGGCAATGTCCATAACAGGGTTGAGAATGTTGGAGCGCTGCAGGAAGAGACTCAGCTCCTCCACTCTCTCACATTCCAGAGAGACTTGGCAAATTCCTGCACACAAACTCAATGTGAATCATGAAGTGGCATTCAGAGGAACTGAAAGTTCAAAGGTCGTGTGGTCTGAAAGCCAAACCACCAGATTCTAGTGAGACTATGGGAAAAGATGTCCCCAATGGACATCTTTGGCAGTAGGGCTGTGTCCTCTAGGGAGGAGGTTGCTGACCTCCAAGGAGAGGTTACTAAGCTCCCTGCTGGGGCCTGGATCCACAGGGGGTCTGGCTCCTCTGTATTCTTTCTCCTGTTCACCATTATCTCTGTTTCTCTGTACTCAAGACAAAGTTATTGCGGCTTCTCTCTCTTCTTAAAATAATTTCATTGTCTCTCTCTCTCTCTCTCTCTCTCTCTCTCTCTCTCTGTGTGTGTGTGTGTGTGTGTGTATGCATGCGCACCCCCAACACACACAATGTGCATGTGCCATAGCTTGCCCTGGGGGTCAGAGGACAGCTGGGGTGTGGTGCGGGAAGTTGGTTCTTTCCTTCTACCTCGTGGATCCCAGAGATTGAACTCGGGTTGTCAGCCTCTCGTCTTTACCCTCTGAGTCATCTTGCTGGCCCTGCAGCTAGCTTCAATGACTGGTCTTGCACTGGCAAACAAAGTCACCCGCAGCCCTGCATCATTTCCAGTTGGGGTTTCCCTGTGGGATAAAGATTAGATTGCACCTGAGAGGAACGTGATTTTCAGCGTGCCCCTCAAAAATCGTCCTGGACCTGGGACAGGGATTCCTACCCACGGGACTTAGTTAAAGCCTTCAACACCCAGAAGCTTTGCACCCTTACCTGAGGGAGGAGTGAGGAGCTACAGACTCCTGGCAGCATGAGGCAGGTAGGAGAACCGGCATGCAGTAAGAAGGAAGCAGGCTGCCGGTTCCCTGTCATAAAGCCCTGTCATTCTGCCTGTGAATGATGACTGGTTCATCACACCAAATAATGGCTTTGCATGGGACGGCAGCTCTGTGGGAAAGTGCTTTAGCTGTAGTTGTGCTATTCTAAACAGCATCTAATTTATGGAGCAAAGAGGCAGATGCCTTTGTCAGTAATGTGTCACCATGATTTAGAGAGAGCCATGCGATAGGTGTTTGCATAGTGCCTGGCTGCAAACGTTAATTACCATCCCTGGAGTGCGGTGCTGCTGGCAGGCCCAAGTTTGAAATTAGTTGTTCAATATGATGATTGGATTCTGGATCTGGTCCTTGCAGTAGCCAAGTGCTATTAATCCCATAGAGCTTTTCAGATGGAAGGAACCATTGGGCCTACTGTGGATTGGGGTGAATTCCAAATGAGATACTTCCCTGACTCCCTAGAAGTCTATGAACCCCGGGGTTTTTCCTGCATCCACAGCTCAGGTTGTGTCTCAGCCTTGTTACTGGGGCAGTAGGCACTCAGTGGGGTAACTATATCCCCTTGGTACACCACAGATCCACAGTATTGCTCTCCTCAGCAGGTCTTCCACTGGTACCCTTCTGCCTGTCCATCTTGGGAAGCCACACAGGGCAGTGATTCTGGGAACTTAGATGAGAACAAGGAGACAAGAAACTGTGGTAAAGTTTGGAGTATCCTGAAAACATGACACTACAGTATGGATTGAAGGCTGATGGAGGATGCCCTTCTGTGTGATGAGAGTACATGTTGCTTTTATTGGTTTCTGAGTAAAGCTGTTTCTGTCAACGGCCAAGCAGAGCAAGCCAGGTGGGAAATCCAAACAAAGGTAGAAAGACAAAGAAAGCAGAGTAGAAGGGACACCACGTAGCCGCTGGGGAAGCAAGATGTGAGATAACAAGCCACAAGCCTCACGGTAAAATATAAACTAACAGAAATGGGTTAATGTCTAATTAGAACTAGCCAGTGAGAAGCCTGAGCCATTGGCCAAACAATTGTCCATTTGCAGAGGCTTCAACCGGTTCTATAATCTGTAAGAAGTTCATCTGGACACAGCTCTGGAGGTTGAGATGTCCGGGAGCACAGTGCCAACACCTGGTGAGGCCTCCGTGATGTGGGCAACATAGCCCAAGGACAAAGCAGAGTCAGGAACAGGAGATAAGGCAGGAGTCAGCTTCCATTAGGAACTCACTCTCCTGATAACCCCCTTCCTTAGTAATTAACTGACTCTGGCAATGTGGTGATACTGGTACAAGGATCTTGTTGGAACTTCCAGGAAATGTAAGGAGACACAGCTATCAGATGGCACCGCAGGGCATGTTATAGATCTATGGCTCCATGAGAAAGCCACTTAGGAAGAAAAATGAACCACCTGACCTAGAAGGAGCCCCACAATCCAGGCTGTCAGAGATATCTGACTGCAAACATCAAGAGGCTGTTACTCTTGTAAAGCAGTCATGATGTCAGGGCCAAGTTTAAAATTAGTAGCCCAAGACAATGATTACACACACACACACACACACACACACACGTACTCTCTCTCTCTCTCTCTCTCTCTCTCTCTCTCTCTCTCTCTCTCTCTCTCTCTCTCTCTCTCTCTCTCTCCCTCCCTCCCCAAGCCTCACCAAAACAGCAACAATGACAATCTTCATATGATGACATAGGGAGTTTCACTTTTTTTCCTTCATGCTTTTCTAAACACCATGTAACAAGTTTGTGCATATGGGTTTGCTATCAGAGGGAAAGAAGCAATGTGTATTCAATAGTTTACCTAGTAAAGTTACCAGAGTTCTTTTCAAATTAATTAATTAATTAATTTGCCAGGAGAGGAGTCATATAAATGCCACAGTGTGTATGTGAAAGTCAGAGGACAACTTCAGGAGTTGGTTTTCTCCCTCTACCGTAAGGGGCACAGGTTCGAACTCAAGTCATTAGACTTGGTAGCAGGTGCCTCTACCTGCTGAGCCATCTCACTGGCCCCAGAAATCTTTAAAAGAAAAAGCACAAAAATGTACATAGCATGTTATACTATATCATACTTCACAAGTGTATGATTAGGAGGGTTTAGGTAGCAAGTGGCATTTTGGGTATTTGTATTTGCTTTGGGGTCATGGCAGCCTAGTTCCCCTTGAGTCATATGACAGAGGAAGCCTTATTTCTGACTGGGCGTAAATGGAAATGAGGAGAAGAGGTTAGAGTCCCACAATTCCCTTCAAGGGTATGTTCCCAATGACTAGAAGAGCTCCCATTAGCATGCCCCCCTCCCCGCAGCTTGTCCACTATCTCCCAATGGTATTGGCAGCTAAGCCTTGACTATGAAGACCTCTGGGAGACACTGTTATAGTTAGTGTCAGTTGTCAACTTGACACACCTGGGAAGAGAGAACCTTAAATGAAGAATTGCTTCCATTGGGTTGACCTCTAGGCATGTCTGTGAGGAATTTTCTTAATTGCTAACTGATATAGAAAGGCCCAGCCCACTGTGGGTGGTGCCATCCTCTAACAAGTGGCCCTGGGCTATATAAGAAAGACGGCTTACAGTGAGCCTGGAAGTAGACCAGTAGGCAGTGATCCTTTGTGGTCCTGGCTTCAGTTCCCACCTCCAGGCTCCTGCCTTAACTTTCCTCAATGATTGGATACAATCTGAAAGCCAAATAAACCCTTTCCTCTCCAAGTTGCTTTTTATTGGTATTTAGTCACAATGTTTTAATCTCAGCAACCTAGGACTCTCACTCAGACCATAGCATTCCAAGAGAGCTAATCCTATACCTCAGATGGAAGCTATGGTAAGAGAATTAGTGTCTAAGTGCACCCATGCATTCTAGGCATGACCTACTGTGTATATGCACATACACATTCATACATATGATTCATCCATGTGTGGGAGGGGTACAAAGCCATGGTCTATCTATGTATGTGTACCAGTGCATGCTAGTCATTGTCAGTCTAAGAGTGTGTGTATGTGTGTGTATGTGTGTGTGTGTGTGTGTGTGTGTGTGTGTGTACCTCATTGCATGCCAGCCATGGTATAGCTATGTGTCTCCTGTTCGTATATCTATACAGTGGCATGTACTGTATACCAGTGCATGTCAACTATGGTGTATTCATGTGTGCGCACCTATATATGGCCTGTGTGTGTCCCATTTATGACAGTTATTGTCTAAGTGCCAGTCACATCCAGTCAGTGAGTGACTTGCTATATAGCAGGCTAGCCGACTCAGAATAGGGCAACTGTTTGTATTATTGTTTTGTCTTGCTCCCTGTCTTTTAAACAGCTACTTCCCCTTTTCATGGTGCTGCTTCCCCAGTTCCTTAGGATCCTGGTGATGGTTTCTGGGCTCTGCAATGCATTGTGCCTTCCTCTCACAAATTCTCCCTGGAGGTAAGACCGGCATTAGAGCGGAGACTGTGCCTGTTACATGATGTTATGCTTGAATCTGAAGTGTTCCCCATAAGTATGCGTTTTGGATGTACAGTCCTCCATGGGTACATTTGGGTGCTCTAGAACCTTTTGGATGTGGGCCCTAGGTGGCCACAGTGGGGCATTAGGAGTGGTCTTTGAAGGCTCTAGCGACCCCTGGTTCTGTTTTAGTGTGCTCAGCTTCCTGTCTGCCGCTGTAATGGCAACAACCCTGCCTGCTTCTCCCACTGCTGTGACCTGTGCCACCCTTCTGCTGCCATGATGAATGAAATTGCTGAGACTATGAAGCAAAAAGAAACCTTTCCTCCCCCAAGCTGATTTTGTCACAGTAATAAGAGAAGTAGTTGACACAGACTTGATCGCCTAACCCTGAAGTACTTGGTGTCTTTGAGCCTCCAGGTGAAACTCAGAAAGAACCTTTGGATGCTGTGACAACCAACTCCCTCTCCCATTCTTCCAAACCACTCCTGGAGCATGAAAATGCCCACACCCAACAGAACGGGGCTGACTCTCCCGGCCTCCGTGCTTGCCCCTCTGACAGTCACAGCATTTCCAGGAGTCCTGCCTGACTCCTCACATTGGCAGAACAGAGTTCCCGTGTGCTCTTTTTACCTTCTCACATTCCAGCCCTCTGACAGCGTGTCCTCCTCGAGATTTCCAACCTGTGGTCTTTACCAAGCCTGTAATGTCATAAATCTCAAAATATCAAAAGAAGAATCAAGGCCACAGCATATTAACTTACTCATTTATTTATTCATTTACAAAAACAGTTTGTTAAGAAAGTCTTACTAATTGGGCAATGTGTTGGATGCTACAGTAGAATAATGAGCAGAGAACTCAGTCAAGCAATCTCATCTTTATAATGCATCTTTGCAAACCTGGATGCATGGTCCTGGGAAGGAACGGGTTAAACGTGTATGCTGTAAAGGAGCAGTCTAGACTAAGCTATCAGAAAAGGCTTTTAGCAAGATGACTCTAGAGCCAAGATCCAAGCACCGAACATCCTGGCTAGAGAAAGGCATTTGTGGTGGCTTTTGATCATCTAGATGAAGGAACAGCGAAGTCCATTTAGGAGCCTCTAGGGTGTGCAGGACTGAAAGGAGCCAGCATGGCAAAGGACAGAGAACAAAGGCCGTCTTGCCAGGGGCCGTGGAGGCTGGTTGGAGAATTGGTATTTATTTTAGGAAACAAGAAGCCCTTGGAGAGCTTTAAATGGCACTGTGGGGATCAGTATGCACTTAGGAATGACCATCACAGAGAGAGTGTGAGGACCGCATTGGAAGAGAAAGAATCTAACCCAGTCTAGGTGGTCACTGCTGAAGGCCGTGGAGAGGCAAGGGACAGCCTAGGCTAAGACAGCAGTAGTGGATGGTGAACAGTGACTGGATTTATGAACCTTTTAGGAGCTACCATGGTTAGTGCTTTGGAAATGGGTGGTGTGAATAAAGGCAGTGGTAGGAGTTATTCAGTTTTCCTACTTGAGTGACCTCAAAAGTCAGGTGTTGAGGTAGAGACCCAGAGACAGGCTCACAGGGCTGGTAGTGATGGGTGGGGGAAAACACGCATTAAACTTGAATGCAGTGGCTTTGAGGTTGGAATTGGCTGGTGGGGACAAGGGTGCAGATGGAGGAGACCAGAGAACACATCGCAACATCAGGCTCGCAAGTGTTTGAGAGCCTCTGTGCTCTGTCATGTTTTCTTTTTCGTGATGGCTCTACCAGAGACTGGGGTGGTCTCCTAGTATGACAAGCAGCAAGGGAGACAGAGTCACCCTGGCATGAGTAGAGCAAGAAGCAGGAAAAACCCCTGTTTAAATACAGCTTCAAGGCTGGGAATGGAGGTAAGTTGGTAAAGGGCTTGCCTAGAGTGACCAAAACCAAAGCTGAGCTTGGTGGCTTATGCCCCAGTACTCTGGAAATAGAGGCAGGGGGATCAGCAGTTCAAAGTTACCCTCTGCTAAAAAGAGAACTTGAGGCTAGCCTTGGACACATGGGAACCCTGTCTCAAAAATAAATGAATTTAAAAATATCTTCAAAATATGGTAAGAGTTTGGTCTTTAGAAATCCCAGACAATACCCTATAGCATTAGCTAGTCTAGGGTTGTTTACTGAACTGGTAATATTGGTGAGCTGGGAATTAAATTCTTAAACCAAAATACAGTGATACAAACTTATCTCAAAATAGTCTCAGCTATTTGAGAGGCAGAGGCAACAGTATGGTCACTTGGCCCCAGAGTTAGTTTGGCAACATAGTGAGATCTCCTCTCAAAAACAAACAGAAAAAAAAGTTCAGAAAAAGGGTGAGGTACCACCTGCCCTGGCTCTGGAGAAATGACAAACCTGGGACACCAAACAGCAGGAGGAAGGCCTGTGTGGTCTTCAGAAAGGCTCTAAAGAAACTGTCCCTACAGCTTTCTGTGCCTTGCCTGCGGCCTTTGAGGAGTCAGAATGGAATCTTCCTAGAAGCTTGGAAAGTTGCTCTAGGTGTTAGAGACATGATTTCACTTTATTATGATCCCCCCTTATGTTCTTACAGTTCTGGGATGGAGCTTGGAGCCTGGCTCATGCTGGCCAGTACTCTATTGTTGATCTACGTCCCTCGCCTCAAGCCTCCTTGATGCCTCCATGCTGTTCTTAACAGCATTTGCCTCAGAGTCTTTAGATAGAGACTGCTAAGGGAAGGGGACACAAATGGTCCCATGGGAACAACCCCCCCCCTCATTCAAATCCACATGTGCCTCCCCCATTTGCTTAGGAACCATGGCCTCTGCAAGCTGCCCTCAGCTCTCCGCCCCACACCTTGTCTCCCGCTGGGAACCACCTTCAGACTTCCTGGTTGCCCCTTTTGCTTTTCTAAACACTTGTTTCTGAAGCCACCAACCTCTCAGCTCCTCTGCCTGCCCTCCTCCCCCACTGCCTTTCTCTTGAGGGCAGCCTCACAGATATTTATGCACCTTGGGAAGTAATGTGCACATACTGCTTTAAGGTCTGTCTTTAAAACTTGTATTTCAGAGGCACGTTTCCATGTATGGACATGGGCAGCATGCCTACCTATTCCAACAGCTCTGCAGTGGTCTGGCATGGGAACGGCTCTGGACTTGCTTAGTCATTATAGGACTGCTGTGTTTGGGCGGCGTCCAGCACCTGGCTAGCATAAATAGCACCGCTGCCTCCTCCTGATGGCTTTTACGTCCATCAGCAGCCGCTTTGCTGGGCCACTGCTTCCTGGGAATAGTCTCTCCTCTCCAAAGGTAGGGATGGGAAGCAGTTGGAGATTCTGTTTCCTTCTCACTTCCCACAGGGGTGCTGAGCCCAATAAAGGGCTTTATAATTCAGTCAGACACTGACAGGGAGAGCTCCCCTATATGGCAGGCACGAGGTAAGCACCCTGTCATCTCATGGCTGTACTGAGCCCAGCTGTCCGGTGCCAGAGGGGCCACAGTGACTGAGACTGGCCAGCTTCTTCTGGAATGTAGCATGGTCAGAACTCTCTTTGGGGGAGCCTGTAATGGGATGTTGTGCCTAAATGTTGCTCAGGTGCTTTTACTGCTAATTCGAGGTAGAAGGCCAGCCGGAGGAGTCCACACCTCTCTCCTGAACTCAGCGTGCCTGAGACAGCCTGTCTGTTGCACTCGGCTCCCATGACCATACATTTCCATGCAGTCTCCTGGGGTCCCAGATGGAATACTCAAAACAGGAGGCAGGGTCTCCCTCTGACTCATACCCGGTGAAGGGAAAGGGCAGGCAGGAAGGATGTGGGATTCCACTCACGCAGCCCTCTACACTTGAAGTATTTTAGTGGAAGGGGGCTGCAGATGTGACCCCACTAAAGAAGCTTTGAGGGCCAGCATCAAATGTCTCCGTGGTGACAAGAGCTGGCAGTGGCAGCCGGAAAGAAGAAAGGACAGAGCTGGGGCTGGCTCCTTCCAGTGTTCCCACTGCGAGCTGGCCGGGCAGGCCTGCCTGGGCCCTGGGCAGCTGCAGCCGCTGAATCGGCCCTCTGTCATCACCTGCTCGGTCCCAGAGTAGAAAAGCACACAGCCTCTGTGCCTCCCACTCCCTCATCCAGCCGGGCCGGGTCCTAATCGCCAATTTCCACACTGGCGGGGGAAGGAGACTGGGAGTCGCCAGAGCTGAAAAGGCATTTCATGTGGCACCTGGTTTGACCACCTGGCTCCAGACGGGTGCAGACCAGTGTTCCCATTTCCCAGGTGAGGGCTGCTGAGGTCACAGAAGCTGCGAAACAGCTTAGTGGTGAGCAAAAGGCCACACTTCTCATGAGTTGCCTGTCAGGCGTTCCCAGATATATAACCTGGGCAGGCTCTGCAAGACAACCCACCCATTATCAACTGACTTGTGATATGGTGTAATTTTTCTTTCTGGGAAAACAGGGCACTCTCATTTTTCACAAGAGTAAAAGAACTATAGGAAGAATATAAAGGGAGGAAAATGGAAACATCTGTTATCTCCTCCTGGAAAGAACGTAGAATCAACACTTTGGTTTATAATGCAATCTCTTTTATGCACATACTTTTTACATAATTATGATCATTTACATAACACTTTTGTAGCTTACTTTTCTCACTAAACACTGCCAACACTTCCTCTAGTCATACAGAGAGCTTTATAACTGTGTGTTTACATGTAATTACATATATTTTGTTCATACCATACCTAACTTAGAATAACTCATCTTTGTGCTGAAGAGATAGCTCGGTCAGCAGAGGACCAATTGCACAAGCGTAAGAACCCTGGATCCCTAGCACCCATATAAAAGCTGGGCTTAGCCTTACACATCAGCAACCCCAGCAATAGAGAGATCAGAGACTTAGGGATCACTGTACACATTGGCCAACCAATCTAGTCAAATCCATGGAGAAAACCTCAAAAAATAAGTTGCAGAGTGATCAATTGTTGACCTCTGGCCTTCACACACATGTGAACATATATGCAAGGGTACCCACATGGGGCATGTGCATACATTCACATGAACATACATCCACAGAGTGCACACACACACACACACACACACACACACACACACACACACTATCTTTAGCTAGCTGATTCCAGTTTCTTGCTATCTTAAATAATGTTGGGGCTGATGTAGGAAGCACAGCTTTCTATGTATGTTTTGAGCTTCTATCATTCAGAAGCATTTCTCTATCCCTGAGAAGTGATTGTTGGGGTTAGGTAAACAGTGTAAGCATTTCCAAGTTCATGGTAAATGTTGCCCAACTGCCTTTAAAGAAACAGGATCCTTTTATACAACTACTAATAGTGCCTTCTCTTGGGACTCTCTCTAGTTTGATTGACAGTTGTAAAGATTTTAACATGCTTAATAAAATGGTCAAACCAATGTCTTCAGTTGTTATTTTCCATATGGTTTCCAATTCCATTAGTCATTTATGACTTGGTTTCCTGTTGGCCAGGCTCTGTGCCAAACACCTCCATGCATACCTTATGTGACCTTCTCAGCATTCCTAGACCAGTCTTATGATTACCTCTGCTTTGCAAATGAAAAATCATTAACACATAGAGGTTAAATGAGTTTCCCAAAGCACACAGGGAGCAAGCAATGAGGATTCAGAACATTAGAGAGGCTGAGCCTGTTCCTAGGGTGTCTCACCTTAATCCTGGATACACACGCGCGTGTGTGTGTGTGTGTGTGTGTGTGCACGTATTTGTTCTTTTGGTACAGGATCTAGCCATGTTGCCCAGGCTGGC